AGTCGAAGGATAGAACACAAGAAATGTAAGTCTTAAGGCATATAGCTCAGCACATATTATGTTCAAAGAATGAGCAATATGCCCAATGTCTTTGTAAATTACCACTACCTAAATATTGAAGTATCAAGCACCAAAGAATGCATGCCTTGCACACCTTGAACCTTTTTTTTTTATAAAACAAATCTTTCATTGATGGTATGAAATGTACAAAAGGCCACATGAGTAATTACAAGAATGCCTTCCAACTTGTAACAAGATCATTAAGAGAGTAGTTGTTGAAGGGGGAGTAGAAATATTTACACCAACCAAGAGCTAGGACAATAATTCTATCATAAAAGATATCAAAAGAGTGGGATTTATCCTTGAAGACCCTATCATTCCTCTCCAACCATAAGCTCCACAAAAATGCCCAAACGAGTTAAACCCAAAGGGTAGCTTTTTCCTTTCTGAATGGATGACCACCAGGAGACAATTAAGGAAAAGGGAGGGTTGATTGTGTAGGACTATTTTCCACCCAAAAGCCGAGAGGAGGCAGTTCCAAAAACTTGTGGCGAATGCGCAATTGATAACGAGATGGTCCTATGTCTCTGATGCCCCAAAGCATAGGTGACAGCAATTGGGGGTGAGAGCAAAATGGGGGAGCTTATCATGCGTTTTTATCGCTCCGTGACTAAGCTCCCAACAMAAAAACTTTACTTTCCTAGGACATCTTCCTTGCCATAGACCAGGGTAAAGGGTGGGTTCCAGGAGGGAGTTGGGGGAGTTAAGGATTCTGAATGCAGATTTTGTGGTGAAAGTTCTAGTGGTTTCAGGGGGCATATCCATAGATCCTCAAGAAGGGGAAGGACAATTGGATTTAGTATATGTGATAAGCACATCCAGTCATTAAATTCCTCGTCCTTGAGTGGCCTGCAGAAGCTGTAGTTCCATGGGGAGGTGGTTCTAGACTAGTGGTCTTCAATTGTGGCCCCCTTATTCGATGCTAAAGCATATAGGATCGGGTAAAGGCTGGTCAAGTTTCCCTGTGTGAGCCATCTGTCATTCCAGAAGCTGATATGGCTTCTCTCCCCCACCCGACAAATGGCAACATCCTTTATGAGGCTGGTTTGTTGAAAATTTGCAGTCCATGGCCCTTTAAAGTTGGAGTCGCAGATGGTAGGCCAAATGGTTAAGAAGAACGGTGTATTTAGGAAATGAATTTTCTCCATAATTGGTTGCATTTGGTTATGTAACGCCATATACCCACTTGGATAGTAGAGCACTGTTTTTGTGCTTTATGTTAGCAATGTACCAATGTCGAGGCCTCCTTCATTGATAGGGAGCTGTGTACGATTCCAATTAATGAGATGAGGCTTTCCATTGGTAATTGGCTCTTCCCACAAAAAGTCTCTGAAGATCTTGTCCATCCTCTTAGCTGTTTTGTAGAGTGAGACGTAGTATGTGGGTAAGTTGGTGAGGACGATTGAAGGCTGGTGTGTCTCCCCCCTTTATAAATGAAGATGTTGCTCCACTTGCATAATCGGTTCTGTAGCTTTTCAATGATTGGCAGCCAGAAAGCTTCCCTTTTTGGGTTACCGTTCAATGGTAAACCCAAGTATGTACTTAGCCAAGACCCAGATGAGCAGCCCCATCCCTTGGCAATTTGGCTTGTGGTCTGAGATAATGGAGATGCCAAAAACATTGGATTTTGTTGTAGTTTGTCTTGCGTCCCGAGGCAATCTCAAAATACTTGATGACTTTGTGGAGATTTTTTATGCTAGAAGGATCCTTGTTGGTGAATAGAAGGGTGTCRTCTACGAAAAGGAGAGGGTTAATTTTAACCAAACCACACCTAGATACATAACCTGAGAGTTGGCCTTGTCATTCCCCATGGGGAAGCATCCAGCTAAGGACGTCGGTGATCAAGATGAATAGAAAAGGGGATAGGGGATCCCCTTTGGGTTTTGGCCATGTCCATTAACAAGTTCTCCTGAGCAAATGACTATCAAAGGACAAATATCTTTTGATAAAGTAACCTAGTGATATCAAACATAAAATAAATTAGCTAAATTACTGAAGTTACTCAACTTCAAACCCATAGAGATTTCTGAAACTTGAAATCCAAGTTGCTTTCTTTCTTTGTTTTTTTTTTTTTTTTAAACAAGAAATTGAAATCCAAGTTACATTTCTCTTTTAAAAAGAGAGAGAGAGAGATCCAAGTTAGGTTTCAAATACACCCAGCTGAAAAAAAGGTAGCGTTCCAATACGGGTGACTATTGAAGAGCTCTAAACATTAGAGTAGCTATTAATCTAAGAACTAGATATTTCAATGAATGAATGGAAAATTCTCAATATTAAATCATACAATGTAACAACTCGGATGTTTTAATGGTTAAGTGGAGAATTTTGATCTTGAGGCTCCATATCAGCTATCCATCAGAAAGCTAACTCCCACAATCTTCTGCCTGAACCTTCGAATGAGCAAGATCTTTGAAGCAAACCACCAGCGGTCTTCATGCAATATAGAAGCACCATGGAACATATTTATGCCGAGATAAGGACTAACATGGATGGAAATTAACCTCAAAATTAAACATTGCARTACGTTTAAAAACAGAATATATCTATAAGCTGTAAAAAAATCATGAATAATAATCACAATGGCTTATCTTCGGCAGTCATTTGATGCAGCATTCAACCAAAAACTGAAATCAAGCTCCAAATTAAAACATTGCAGTACCTTTAAAAAAAATAATATATCTATAAGCTCTAAAAAAATCAGGAATAATAATCACGATGACATGTCTTCGGCAGTCATGTAATCATTTAGAATTCTTGAAAGAATGAATATATAATCGATGTTTCCAAGTGAATGGCAACGATATCTTCAGATAAATTGAATACAGATATCGTAATCAAACTACAACAAATGCCTAAACATTCAGAATTAAGATACCTTTTGTATGGCACAATAAGATATCGAAGGATGAAAGTTATTTTTGGACAGATACATTACTCCGCTGCTCTCTCCATGCCCTGCTTTTTCTCCAACTCGTCTGATCAGTCATCGAGCCTCTAATCTAAACCGAGTCATCGCGTTATAGTCTGGTTTTGGAATCTAAGGACGTTCCTCCCCCAAAGATCCCGCCATTGGACGGTCATGGGGCATCAAAAACATGTAAGGGCAGCGAGAGGGTCGGTGAGAAAGTGAAAGCCGATTTTCAAAGAGAGTGAGAGAGATAAATCGCGAGGGAGAGAAATCTCCATGGATCTTGGCCTCCTCCGGTCCCTCCATGCCTCGCTTCTGCAACTCCTACTCTACTCGCCTGATCAGTCCGCTAGCCTAGCCTCCAATGCAGACCGAGCCGTCGCATTTACTGTCTTGCTCGGAATCTGATGACGCTCTTCCCCGGGATGGCTGGTTGTAATGGCCGTTGAGAGATGGAGAGCGAAAAGTATTGGGTGACAGTGAGAGAGTTGGTTGAGAGACAATGAAATCCCATTGAGAAAGAGAGATTCGAGTCGTTGAGATAAACAAATGAAATATTACTAGAAAGTAGAAAGAAAGCGAGAGAGAGAGACGAAACGGTTGCTAAAAAGAAGTTTAGTCGCGGTGCTTCCCTGCTTACTCCTGTCTAAGCACGTGTCTTAAATGAGTCTCTCACGGGCATGAGAGACCGTAGGATCTTCACGACATCTGAAACATATTGCAGGCTTCGGTTCAAATTTATCGGCTTCAATAATAGGGTCTACAATTATTGGGTTGAACTCGTAGAATGTTGGAGAYKTATAAGCTCTAATTTCCTACTCGATATCATAAGCGAGTAGAACAACATTCAGATGAGGTATTGGAGCAAGTTTTCCAACTACATCACCATGTACTGTCTCTACTCTCAACTCGGGTTGAATTGGTCAATTTGGTAGGTGATACATTTTAATTTATTATCTACGTTGAACTCTTTGTTCAACCTTCTCCTTCTAAAAGTTCGTTCAATCTTTTTGTTCAATCACTGCACAAATCAATCGAAATAAAACTGAAARAGCTCACGACGTATTCCAAAATACTAAAATCAAAGTATGAAAACTCAATGCTCGACAACGGCGCCAAAAACTCGTTCGCTTCCTCACAACTAAGAGAAAAATTAGTTAGTATATAAAAATGTCGTTTCCACATGGATTGCAACTATATTTTGAACTAACAAATCATGATACAAAAAACAAAAATAATAATAGGTTGGTTGGAATACTGTGGAACAATGAAAATAAATTTATAAGATAGTATATGAGCAATAACATAAATGTCATGCGATTATGTGCTGGAGCATCCGAAACAGATAGCAAACAGTTACGATGAAGAAACGATTTAAATGTAAATTGAGGGGGATTCGCTAAGATGTTTTCACATTTTTGCTAACTATGCTCTAGCAAATAAAAAATACTAAATACCCAAACCGTCGTTGCTTTCTACCAAGATACGTAAACATGCTTAAAACTCAACTCCTCTTGTAATGAAACAAAGCAACAAAATCAATCTATAAAACACAATAGAGTGAGTCTCATCCCTAAATACTCACCATCCTACTTCAAGGAGGTGAATCGAAAACTAATAGAAGCAATAACAAATAACGACACTAGGTGAAATCAGTGTTCAACCAACCGTAGTCCATGTGACCAGTGTTATGCTTTTTTTTAAATGAATTTAATGTTTGAATAAAAAAAATCAATTTGGGATGGTAATCACGGCAAATGACCAACTCATGTGTGTTTTATTTACCAAAAATTCGAATCGATATTTATATTGTGTACTAGCAATATTTTAAAAATATCTTATACATTATTGTAAAAAATATACATGTGTTATGTGAGGTTTCTGGTCGATCATCTAATTATGGTATCATATTGGGGCATACACGAGAATTTAGAGAAAGATAAGGGGTCGACGCGTGAATATGAAGTTTGAAATTTTCAGAGTTGAAATTCGAAATTCCCACCTAAAATAAACCGCCAAAATTAGGAGGCTAATTCAAAAAGCAAAAGCCATCGTACAATTGCTCTAAATTATCACTCTTCCTTCTCTTCCTCTCTCTGCCGCAGTTTCTCCTTTTGCTTCCACGATCCTCAGGTCTCTCTCTCTCTTTCTGCCGAGATTTAATTTCTGTCTTTTATTTGTTCCGATTTTGAAGTTCCTCACATGATTTTTCTTCTTCGCTTCCTCCCTTGCATCCCGATCTAGATCTGTGTACGATCTTTCATTTCTTCTCGATTTCTATTTTATTTTTCTATACTAAATGGCGATGTTACTCTGTTCGAGGTGTTGATCTGAATGGTTGAACATTTTTTGCAGGCTGAAAAATGGCGGGAAAAGGCGGAAAGGGGCTTTTGGCTGCGAAGACCCCATCAGCTAACAAAGATAAGGATAAGGACAAGAAAAAGCCCATCTCTCGATCCTCCCGCGCTGGTATACAGGTGCGCTTTTGTATTCTTACCTTGAACCTTTTTCATCCATAGTTTGGAATCAAAGAGTTAAACTAATTGAAACGACAGTATCTTCCCAAGCGTGTTTGATTTTTCCTCGTCTGTTGAAGTCTTGGAATGTTGAATAATTTTGATATTTACCCATATAAGGAAATTACTGCAACTGAGACGAGATTAGTACAATTTTGTCGATGTATCTGCATATATTGCGATCTTTGTTCCTCAAATTTGTATTCTTATAGCACTTGTTGTCAGACAGCTTAGAATTTTAGCACGAGGCTCTGAAATCTCTTCTGATTCTCTGTTTAGGGGGAAAGTGTAGAGTACTATTTCGTGGGTTGGGATGAAAATTTGCAACTCAAATGCCCGTGTGGTTTTATTTTTGAGCTACATGCAGTTAAGATTAGTACAATTATGTTGATGTATCTGCAGATACTGTGATCTTTGTGCCTTAAATTTTTACTGTAATAGAAATTTCTGTTGACATTTCTGAATTTTAACATGGGGCTCTACGATCTTTTTCAATTCTTTGTTTAGGGGGGAAGTTTAAGCTTAGTATTTTGTGGGTTGGGCTGAAAATTTGCCATTCAAATGCCCACGTAGTTTTATTTTTAAGCTACACAATTGGGTTGAGATCAAATAATTTCACTTAAGTTGGGCCTCGAATTGCATAATTTTGGGTGATTTAACTCGTGAAATATCTGGATTTGTGGGGTTTTAGTTCCCTGTGGGACGAATTCATAGGCATCTTAAGACAAGAATATCTGCAAATGGGCGAGTTGGTGCAACTGCTGCAGTGTACTTAGCATCAATTCTGGAGTATCTCACGGCCGAAGTGCTTGAGTTGGCTGGAAACGCGAGCAAGGATCTGAAAGTGAAGAGAATCACTCCAAGACACCTTCAGCTGGCCATCCGAGGAGATGAAGAGCTTGATACMCTGATCAAAGGAACCATTGCTGGAGGTGGTGTAATTCCCCACATTCACAAGTCCCTCATTAACAAAGCATCCAAGGATTGAGACATTCCCTTGCATCTCTGAGTAGTTCTGCTTTAACTAGTGACTTCTAAAACTGTAGAAGAAGACATTTACTTGTATCCAAGGATTAGCTTTCCTGCTTGCTTTTGTGAAGCTCTGTTTATTTTCTTCCTTTTTTTTTTCTCTGTCTATTTGGAGAAGTATATTTGTTCAGTGTAAGATTGTTATTTTGCTGGATGGTTTTTACTTTAGCTGACTTTCTTACTACATATTTGTTGGATGGTATTTTGGGCCTTTAGTTCTCATTCAGCATCTGGCTAACTATTGTCATTTTATTTTACTTTTTTTCTTTTTTTTTGAGAAACATCTGGTTACTGTCTTGATTCAATAAATAAAAACTATCATATATTGATTTGCAAATTGAAATGGAGAAGGCAGGAGGGTGGCTACTGGCTGTGAATAGAAGAAAGAGAAGGGAAAAAGAGAGAAGGTTTAGTGGATAGGAGCAGGAAGGAGGGAGAAGTAAAAAGTAATTTTTTAGAATGTGTTTTAACTTTGACAAGAGCTCTTGCAAATATGTGATGATTTGATTTGATCTGATCTGATATATGTTTACAGTATATGCATATCTCTAAAGTGGTTGCCTCAATGCATATCTAGATTTAGCTTTGTCAACTTTATTCMTTTTTTTTTCTTTTTGTTYTTTTATCGGAAGTAGAACAATAATATACATGACTTTGAAAACGTTACATTTGGTTCTCTCAAAATCTCTCAAAACTTAATTATAACTAGAGTTATGTTCAACATGATTACTCGCAAGATTTTGGTTAAATTAAAAATTCTTAATTTTAATATTTTTAAATAAACTTCTTATACTAGAGTTAAGGAATTTGAACTTTCCATCTTTAAAAAGGTAGGTAATGGTTTGACTAATTAAGTAAGGTTCATATTATCATCATTTTTTTCCTTTTTTATTTATTGAGAAAATTTTAAGTTTAATTATTCTAGATATTTACGATGTTAGAGAAGGAAATAAGTATCTTTAATTAAATCAACATAAACTAAAAGCCAAAACAAACACAGCTCACGATATTTGATTAAATTGAATAAATTAAATAAAGCTAAAATGAAAAAGTATTTAAATAAGTTTAATTGCTAAATATGATTGTGTGATCGAACTCACAGCCTCTCAATTGGAGATGCATGTCAATTACAACTCAACTATGCTCGCTTTTGTAAATTTCAGTCAATTTAATTATAATTCTTATTTTACTCCTATTATAATTCATCTAATACAATAAAGAAAGGTAGATATTTTAGGATGTTTTGGAAACTGTGGAGGTTACAAAGAATCCAAATAAACAAAAACGGATCAATCCACGTGTCTATCTTGATTTCTATGGTTAAATAGTCCAATTTGGTAACTCATTCTCATAAAATTAAATTAATTAATTTCAATTATTTAAATATTTAACTAAACTAAATTGACAAGTTAGATCACTACTACAATTTGGAGTTTTCGTGACGTTAACGAACAGTAAAAATATTGGAAATAAAAAAAATCACAAAAGGTAAAAACGCGTTTTTTGCGAGCAACAACTATTTTTTTTTATTTTTGATTTTTTGTGACCTTTCTTTAACCCTTACAAAAAGTTGAAAAAAATATATTTTCGTGACGTTTAAAGATAGGCGTATTTTTTTGTTGGAAAAGATGAAGTTCTTCGGATTTCTGACTTTTCGTGATTTTTAATCGTCACGAAAAGGTATGGCATGTTTTTGACGGGAAAAAACGAAAAATTTTCATATTTTTTGGTTTTAAACGTCACGAAAAATTAGAAAACTACATTTTTTGTGAGGTTTAAAAAACATCACAAAAATGTAAGATAAATTTTTTGCAGGAAAAGACGTAGCTTACGAATCTTTTTCTTTTCGGAAGATGGAGAGAGTTTTTTGGCACAAAAAACATCACATCAATACAAGTAATTATTATTTTTTTAATATAAGTAATGTAGTTTTAAAAAAATGACAAAATTACAATAATCTTGGAACTAAAGACAAAAATAAAATAGTTAGACGTCGAATCTAAGATGTTATTTTAAATAAAATTGTACCTTTTTTTCCCTTTTATGAAGACATTGATGTCTTTCAAATGGTATAAGTTACGACTTTACTTTCGAAAAGAGAGAATTAACTCTGATAATCATCCGTCGGGAGTTGATAGTAGTCTATAAGGGGGAGAGGATGTTCTTTAAGAGGGGAGGGATGATGGTCTTGCATGTAAGAGAGAGTATATAACTTGTCTTGCATGCTTAAAATGATAAAATTACAATAATCTTTTTTTTTTATTTAAGTACAACATGTGGGGGTGGGGATCGAACTCAAAATCTCTTGATTGGATGTATGTGTTAATTAACGTTGAACTATGAAATTAAAGATAAACATAAAATCGTTACATACTAAATCTAAGATGTTATTTTAAATAAAGATGTGTTTTTTTTTCTTTTTCATGAAGACATTGACACCTTTCAAACATACGAAGTTACGACTTTACTTTCGAAAAGAGAGATTTGACTCTRATAATCGTCGATAAGTGAGGAAAGATGGTGGTTTTGCATGTAAAAGAGAGAGTGTAACTTGTCTTACATGCCTATAAAATAATAGAATTATTTATTGCATAGTTGAATATTAATGAAAGTACTTAATATTTTCTCGAAAAGAGAGAACGTAATCTTGCGTTATTCCATGAGGAAGGGGAAGATGCATGTTAGAGAGACATATGTTCAATAATATTAAATATTTTACCAACTTCTTGACAAGTAGATTTTAGATGTTAAAAAAAAAAGAAAAAAATTTGTGACCGTAGGATCTACTTGATGACCAATTCTGATTGGATCATAAATAAGTGGGTAAGTGAGAAAAAGTGTGAGATGAAGGTAGAGAGATTTTATTTTTATAACAATACTTTTTCTCATAAAATTTGAAACTCCTATTTTAATAATGAAAATTTCTTTATGGTTGTCTGTGGATTTTACCCTAATTTATTTAAGGATTTTTGAGGTAAATTATTGTGCCATATTCCTCGTCTTCTTCTTTATTATTACTTCTCTCAATGTCTATCAAAGCTACAATATTGCTTTATTCAGTCGAGTCCTCTAAAAAGAGACCGTCTTGCATGAGTTAAGTGGGTGGATACATAAAGTCAGTCTAAAATAATTTCGAATAATGTAGTTCAAATAAATCAAAAGTAAAATATTTGATTCTAAGGTTCTATATATAGTCTTTACCCTCATTGAAAATTGACAGCATACTTCTTTTTAAAAAAGGAAAATTTTATTTATGCATTTATTTTTTTAGTTGTTAAACATTCAATAATAATAAGGACTATGTAAGTTTTTATTACATATTATTATTATTTTCTTTTTTAGAGTAATTTTCTTACTAGTAAGGAGTGGAGTATTTTTCATTTTATATGTCGTGCTAATATTAATATTATGATTTATAAAAAATGATGATTTATGATTTCTCAAAAAATAAAAATAAAAATAATAATGATGATTTATGTAGGCAAATCGTGTGTGAATACCAGTCTACGGAAGCATGAAAATCGTGTTTAGAACCACAAAATTTTCACCCAAAACAAATCAAATGATCCTATTTTTGTAGTTAGTTTAGAAAAAGTACCACTATTAGATTTTATTTTTTTATTTAAAACTTATTTTCAAAATTATTATTATTATTCTTTTTTTTTTGAGAATTTTTCAAAATTATTTTAAAAAATAAACTTATTTAAAAGTTTATTAGTTGTGAATCTTGCCCACTCAACACATCCATCCAATGAGAAAGACAAAAGAGGTTTTTACATAG